TTTTTTTTTTTTGTACTTGGGATTCAACTCGGGTCCTTGTGCTTGCAAGACAGACAGCATCACCTCAAACTCACAGTGAGCCTCCCACCTCACCTCAGCCTCCCAGAGGTATGTGCTACCATAGTTTTTTTGTTTTGTTTTAATTTTGGTGACAGTGTCTCGCTATGTAGTCCCAGCTGGCTTTGAACTCACTATGTAGCCCTGGCTGGCCTCTTAACTTCAGGCGATTCTCCCGCCTTAGCCTCCGAAGTGCTGGGACTACAGGCGTGTGCCACCATGCTGGCTACCATAGATATTAAAAAAATAAGAGTGAGCCAAGTACTGTGACACATACTTGTCATTATAACTAGTTGGGAGGTTGAGGCAGGAAGATTGCAAATTCAAGGCAACCTAGCAACATTAAAAAAAAAAAAAAAAAAAGGCTTAGCCGGGCGCGTGGTGGCGCACACCTGTAATCCCAGCACTGGGGAGGCTGAGGCACGAGGATCGCTGGGAGTTCAGGACCAGCCTGGGCTACATAGTGAGTTCCAGACTCAAACTACATAGTGAGACTCTGTCTCAAAAAACCAAAAAAAAAAAGGTTTGAAATACAACTCTGGCAAAGCAAAATCATGGCCCCAGATTCAATCCTTAGTACTGTTACCAGGTAACTTCTAAAAGTGGCTTGCCGGGGATTTAGCTCAGTGGTTCCACTGCCTGCCTTGCAAGGACCCGAGTTCGATCTCTGGTACCAAAAAAAAAAGTGGCTTGCCAGATAAGTGTTACCAGGTTTTGTGATGCTGGTATTTCCTGGAGTTGGCTTTCCAAGGTTCTTCTGGTCTCAAACAAACAATTAAATGATATGAGCAAAAAGCAGTGACAGTTTATTTGAAAAAGTAAAAGTGAAGAGTGAGGGAGAAACTGGCTTGGCAGATCAAATCTGGGCTAAGTAAAAGAGGAAAAAACAAGATAAAAGTACATTCTGCGATTATAAGGAAAGCCACATAGCAAGCTCTTCTTGGTTTCTGTGCCTTTTATGCCATCCACATCTCAAGGAAACCCACAAGAACTTCTGCGTACCATCCTGAGTAGTGGTGCTAGGATTCCAGGCCTCAGGCTGACATCTAGTCCAGGCCATCCTATTGAAAACCTGCTCAAATTCTCAGAAGTCATGTAGGGCTCTGGGAACTGTTCTGCGTGTGTGTTCCAGGATCTTGTAATTAACAGGTCACGCTTAACTTCCCCAGCCAGCTTTAAAACACTCCAGTCTCCTGTCCTGTCTCATTGTTCCCTCAAGGCATATGTACACGTGCGCATACACACACACACACAGACAGAACTGAGGATGTAGTTCAGTGGTAGAGCACTTTCCTAGCAGGTGTGATGCCCTGGGTTCCATCCTTGTTACTGCAAAAAGGTATAGGGTAAGGGTGGTAGTGAAATATTCTGAAGTGTTGTTAAGGGATATTTTTAGGTTTTTTTTCAGCACTGGGGATGGAACCTGGTCTCATCCATGATAGGCAAGTACCTACCACTGACCTATATCCCTGGTGCAATAATAGAATATTCTGAACAACTTTATGTGAAGATAACAACTTAAATGAAAATGGACTTTTTTTTTTTTTTTTTGTACCAGAGATTGAACTCAGAACCTTGCACTTGCCAGGCAGGTGTGGTGTCACTGAGCTACATCCCCAGGCTCTGGACAAATTCTTTAAAAAAAACAAAATTGTCAGAAGTGTTACAAGAAGAATCAGAATGTTCAAAAAGCCTGATTATTTCTAATCCTCAACACTACCGGCATGTTGGGTTTGATAATTCTTTGTTGTTGGAGAGAGATTTCCATGTGGTTAGGGTGCTTAGCAGTATCCATGGCCTCTAGCCACCAAGTGCTAGAAGCATCAAGAAGTTTTAACAAGCTCAGATGTCTCCAGATGTTCTCAAATGCCCTGAGGGAGGTATAAAATCACCTCTGGTTGAAAATGGTGCCCCAATCAACAGAAGAAGTTGAATTAATAGTTAAAAACTTGCCATTCATTCATGCCCTCATCCTCCTCTCCCCAGGAAAAGAGACAAACAAAACACCTATCTTCAGGCCCAGGTGGCTTTTTTTTTGTTTTGTGTTGTTTTGTTTTGTTTTTTGAGACAGGTCTCACTATGTAGTTGAGACTCACCTGGAACTCACTATGTAGCCCAGGTTGGTCTCCAACTCACAGTGATCCTCCTGCCTCAGCCTCCCAGAGTGCTGGGATTACAGGCGTGCACCACCATGCCCAGCTATTCTTTTCTTTTCCCCCAGTACTGGGGATTGAACTTGGGACCTTGTGCTTGTGAGGCAAGCACAGAACTACTAAGCTAAATCCCCGGCCCAGGCCCAGGTGGCTTTATTGTTGATTTATAAGAATTTATTTGGGAAAGAAATAAATGCCAATCTTAAACAGATTCTTTCAGAACATAGAAGCAAGGGATACTTCCCAAACTCATGATGCCATTACCTGACAATAAAATCAAAGGTATTTCAAGAAAAGAAAACTGTGAGTATCACTCATGAACACATATCTAAGAGCCAGGTGTGGTGGTGCACACCTGTAATCCCAGCACTCTGGAAACTGAGGTAGGAGGATCACCTCTAGTTCAAGGCCAGCCTTTGCTACATAGTGAGTTGAAGGCCAGCCTAAACTGCATAGCAAGATCCTGTCTCAAACCAAAACAAAAACCCCACAGATGTAATAATCCAACGATATAAAAAAATCATGTATCATGGTGAGGCACAGTGACCCATGCCTATAATCCTGGTACTCTGGGAGGCTGAGGCAGGAGGGTTGCAAGTTTGAGTCCCACCTAGGCAATTTAGCAAGGCCCTGTCTCAAAAAGTTAAAAGGGGTAGGGATTTAGCTCAGTGGTAAAAGTTTCATCCCTAGTCCTGCCAAAAAAAATCATGAACTCATGTGCTTTTTATGTTGTTTTCAGTACTAGGGATTGAACCCAGGACCTTCACACAGAGCTACATCCCTCCCCTTATTTATTTTTCAAAATGTATTTATTTACTTGGTACTGGGGATCAAACTCAGGACCTTGTGTTTGTGAGACAGGTGTGGTGCCACTGAACTAAATCCTCAGCCCTCAAAATTTCGTTTTTAGAGACAAGGCATTGCCTTGTAGTTTAGGCTGGCCTCAGATTCACAGTCATCCTCCTGCCTTAGCCTCCCAAGTGCTGGGATTAAAGGCATGTACCACAAGGATCAGTGCCCTGCTTTTTAAATTTTTCTCTTTTTTGGTGGTGGTGGGGGTACCGGGGATCGAATTTAGGACCTTGTGCTTATGAGGCAGCCGTGGCACCACTGAGCTAAATCCCCAGCCCCCCTGACTTTTTAACTTTTGAGAGAGGGTTTCACGAAGTCACTACATTGCCTATACTAGTCTTGAACGTGTGGACCTCCTGCCTTGGCCTCCCAGAGTTCTGGAATTAGGAGCCTGGCTAATGTGTTTTTTTGTAGGAATGAAAAATGTTCATCATTAAAAAGTAAGCTGTGGTTTAAAGTGGAATTTCAACTTGATTGGCTTGGGATCTGTACTGGGGGCTGATGGGGTACTTTTCTAGGTGTGTCTGAGTGGGCCGAAGAGATGTGGTCCCTGACCCCTTCTGCCCTCCCACTTCCCCTGCTCTGCTTCCCAGCCACATGGGCTAAGCAGCCTTCTACCATAATGTCTCTGCTGTGGAGCCAGCCGATCACAGACTGAACTATAAGCAAATGAAATCTTTTAAATTGTGGGTGCAGAGTTTTATGTACCAGTGACAAGAAAGCTAGCTAATACAAATACCAGTATGAATCGTCATTTTAGTAGAATAAGGAAAGACCATATGATCCTCTCAATAATTGAGTAAAAACATTTAATAATAATCATTTTTTTTTTTTTGTACTGGAAATTGAATTCAGGACCTTGCACTTGTCAGGCAGATGTGGTGCCACTGAGCTAAATTCCCAGCCCTCCTAATTTTTAAAAATATCAGTAAACTAGGAATAGAAAGGAACTTCCTCAAACAAGTGGAGGACATCTATAGACAACTACAACTATCATATGTAATGTTTTCCCCCTAAGAATGGGAACAGGGTAAGGATGTTTACTATGACCACTTGTACTCAACAGTGTACTGAAAGTCCTAGCCAGTGGAATAAAGAAAAAAAAAAACAAAAGTTATGTGGATGGTAGCTGGGGGTGGTGATTCACACTTACAATCCCAGAACTCAGGGAGGCTGAGTCAGGACTGCTTCGAGTTTGAGGCCAGCTTGAGCTACGTGAGACCCTGTCTCAAAAAAAAAAAAAAAAAAATTACACAGATGGAAAAGAAAGGAGTAAAAGTGTCTATTTACAAAATGCATACAAATATGCATTTTAAAAATCTCGAGAGGGCCAGGGATTTAGCTCAGTGGCTCTGTCACCGGTCTTGTAAATGACAGGTCTTAAAATTTAAGCTTCGTTAGCTTCACTTCAGATCCGCCTTTGCCCACAGTCTGGTCTAGTTTCCTTCTGCCTCAGGAGCTTAATGCGTGCCATTTCCTTCTAAGAGCTCTTTTCCTATTTCTTTTTCCCTAGTTAACTCCTTCACTACTGAACCACCAGCTCCCAGTTCTCTGATCCCCCGGGAGACCCTCACAATGCTCCATGTACCTAGGAGCTGACCTGATGGTTTCCCAGCACTTCTTGTGTAGAGGTGGGCGGAACCCAGGGCGAGCGTCAGAGACCGGGCTCCGCCTTCAAGCCGGCGCGAACAAATCTCGGAACTCGCGGGGCTGAGCCTGCGGTTCCTGCCGGAATTAGTCGGCGGTGCACTCTGACATGGCTGCGCCCATACTGAAGGGCGTTCGTGAACTGATGAGGCTTGTGGACTTGGCGCCGGTCCCGCGGAGACATCGGCATAAGAAGAAATGGGTAAGGTCTGGCTGGAGTCTTAGGTGGGAATCTCCAGTACCCGTTGCATTTCGCGCCCTCCTCAGTAGCGTTCGGTATATTTCCGCCCCATTAGCGCGCCACGGCATGTTTTTTCCAGCCCTTCTGGGAGAGTCACCTACTTAGGTCTGCCGGTCACCGCTCAGTCTGCGCTTTTACCTCTCTGGAGCCTCCGTCTGCTCTTCCTGAAATATTTGCCACTTCCTGACTCCGCCCCCTTAAGTTACGTCATCGCCCGCCCCATTCTTTCCGTTAAGTCACCACCTCTTCCTCGCGCTTACCTTTCCCTTAGTCCCCGCTACTCCTTCCTCTTCCCTCTCCCTTTCCCTTCCTCTTCCCTTTCCTACCCCCCACTTCTCCTACTCTCGTCCACCATGACTTCTCCTTTTCTCCGTGAACTTTCATCCCAGTTGCCCTCCTCTCCTGGACATTGTCATAGCGACGACCCCCTTCCCTCCTTCGCCTTGCGGAAAAGGATTCAGCCCTGTCCTCACCCTCGAGCTGCCTCTGGCGCCTGAGAAAGGTTACAGCGACCAATCTGGCCATACTGTCAACCCTTCCCCAAAGACAGGCAAAAAGTGCAAGGACCTCCCTCACCCTAGAGAGCCTTCGTCTTGCCTCATGGGCAGGTCTCCTTGTGTATCCCGAAGGATCTCCTCCCCACCCCCACCATCTCCTTCCTCGCTCCCACAGAGTTCTTTTGAACCCTGTTCTCCCACACTCCTTGGAAGGTCCTGTTGCCACGGGACCAGACTCTCTGGTTCATCCCCTACAAGTCCTTGTCTTGATCGATTAGGCCTTCTGGGGTCACCCCCTCACAGTCAGCGGAGCACTTACTGCAGTTGGGTCAGTCCCCCGAGAATGCAGCGTCCTTGTCCTCCGAACTCGCTCTTTGACCAGCACACTTACCTCTGTTACTATCGTCCAGTGACCTCTCAGCCCCAAGGAAGCAGCCCGGTGACTTCCCCTCAGCTCATTCACATACCCTTGGAAACTGGCCCCCTAATTGAACCTCTCCTCACTCCGGAGTCTGAGGGAACTTGTTCCATGATTTCACCTCCTCTCACTCATAGGCGCCTGGGAACTGGACTTTCAGTTTCACCTCCACTTGTTCATCTGCCAATGGGAACTAGACCTATGGTTTCAACAACGCTTTCTCGTGGGGTTTTGGAAACTGGGACTGTGATCTCCCCTCTGCTCTCTCACTGGTCCTCAGGGAGGAGTTATAATGACCCTCCCCTTCCTCCTCTTTCAGCATCTTCCCAACCTACTGACAGCCTTTGCCATGACAACCATAAGCTTTCAGACTCTTGTGAACCCAAACCACAGCTTGATGTGCCCCTTGGCAAAAATTGTGGCTCCTCACTTCCTTCTCAGGTGGGCATCTCTGGCTTTCCCAGCTCACCTCAGGAGGGTTCTTTTCACTACTCTCATAGTTCCTCAGAGGCCCACATATCTGCCCCTGGGAACCCTTACTGTGCTATCCGCCAACCCCCTGATAATACTGGTTCTTGCTCACCCCAGTTCCAGGCTCCCAAGAATCCTTGCTTTGAGTCCCTTTCCTGGGGAACTGGTGGGGGCTCTTATCTCCTCCTAACCCCTGGTACCATGATTTCTGGTCCCCCCTGTCCTCCAGAACTGCCTCTTTCCCACTGTCCTCATTCTGACTTCTACTTCCCTTCACCCCTGGGCAACCAGTTTATAGCTCCACCACAGACAGTCCCCCGCAGAAGCTATAATGAACCTCCTCTCCCTACTCCAGTTTCCCCCTACACAAAGTCCCCTAAATCCTCAGAGTTAAGACAGCCATGTACACCCCACAAATGTCGCTCCCTAATTAATGCTACCCAACACACTCCTGACCAACCCAAGACCTCTCAGGCCAGCACCTCTCCTCTGCCTCCACCCCAACCCCAACCCCCTGGCCTCTCTGGCCCTTCTCGTATGGAGCCATCCATCACAACTCCTTCAAATTGCTGCACCAAAGAGCTGCCTGCAGAGACTCCCTTACCCACTGTGGTCCCTGGAATCATCAAAACGGTTTTCCCTACTTATCTTCCTCTCTGCGTTCCTTGTGATCCTATCTTACCCAATAGTTATGCTAAGATCAGTCCCCATGGAGCCTCCATGGTATCCCCCTGCAATACCCATGTGTGTTCCATGGTTCCCCACACCTCTAATCCCTCTGTACTCTCTAGTTCCCTCATTCACCCTACAAGGCCCCCTCAGGGTCATAACCAGCCTGTGATGCCTCCTTGTGGTTCCTATGGTGCTCCCAGGGACCCGCCCCTACGCCCTTCCAAACCTGTGATGCCTCCTTGTTCTACCCACATCTATTCTTTTATTCCTCTGAGAACACCCTTTGACCCCCAGTGCTTACCTATTGTCCCCCGACCTCTGCCTTCCCCTGATAATGTCCCCTGTGGCCTTCATACCTATACTGTGGCCTCTCAAGGCCCTGGCAAAGAGTGCCCCCAGGTTCCCTATAGCTGCCCTTTGCCTTCTCCCAAAAGTTCCACTTGTAGCACTGATCCAAGCTGTAGTTCGACCATTGTGAGTGAATGTCAGAGTAGTGACAGCCAGAGCAAGAGCAGCCACCAAAGCAAAAGTTGGAGCCAAAGCAGAAGTCAGAGCCGAAGCAAGAGTCCTCATGATAGCCAAAATAGGAGCCGGAGCAGTAGTCTTCACCAGATCACAATTCAGGACCTGAGTAAGAGTACTTGTCATGGCAGAAGTCGGAAGCGGAACAAGAGTCCCCATGGTGGTAAAAGCAAGGGCAAGAGCAAGAGCAGGAGCAGGAGCAAGAGTCCCCACACTGGCAAAAGTCATGGTCGGAGCAAGAGTCCCCAAAATAAGAAATGAGAGCAGAAGTTGTGACCAGATCAAAAATCGAGGCTGAAGCAAAAGTACAGACAGTAACAAGACTGCCAGTAGTAGTGTCCATTCCAGCTGTGGCAACCAAGACCAAATTGTGGACTGTGGTACTCATTTGAAGTTTTCATTTTCTTTTTAATCTACTTTTGTGCTCTTGAGGCCTGCCTCATGTGCCTCACTGGTATCCCCATAGCAGTCATTCTAGAAGTTTTTGTTTTGGTTCACACCTCAACTGTGAGCCCTCCTTACACCTTATCATATTCCTGGGGTCTGGGAACTCTCCCAAAACAACCTTCAACTCTGTGATTTTGAGCATCATTATGTTGCTGCTATTCATTGTGTGGTCTTAGGTAAGTTACCTTCATGTCTCTATGAAGTGTTTTTGTTTTGTTTGTTTTTTGTATTCTACTGAGCACTTGCAGTGTTTGCATAAACTAGTAGACACAAACAGCTTTCAGAAAGTAGAAGGGCTGTTCAGAAGCAGTTGTTTGTTTTTTTTTTCTTTCCCAAACCTAAAGCTCTCCCGGGGCTTCTATAGCCTCTTCCAGCCTTCTGCAGGCTCTCCTCAAGAAGAAGTCTTCTCTTGAGCTTCCATTCTCTTAAATTCCTCTCACTCCAAGCCTCCCTCTCTCCCTTTCAAAGTGCTATGGGTAGAACCCACGGCAGCACTCATGCTAGACAAGTGCTCTAACATTGAGTGACACCCTTAGCCCAAGACTTTCCTTCTTGATGCGCCCCCTACTGCCCACGCACATTGTTAACTGTGAGCGGTCTAGTTTTCTTTCCTTTGATGGAAAGGTCAGCTCCTCCTCACTTTCCTTACCCCCCCACCCCCGTTTATTTACTTATGTGTTTGAGGCTAACCTGGACTATACAGTAAATTCTAGGCCAGCCTGAACTACAAGACCTTGTCTCAAAAAACCAAAAACAAACTCTTAGTAATCCTCCTGCCTCACCCTCCTGAGTGCTGGGTTCATAGGTGTGTGCCTAACCCTCCTGGGTGTTTTTCTTTGCCACACACTTCTCTGGCAGAAAGAGGCAGAATGCAGAGGCAGGGTTGGATGTTAGCTGTTTCTGAATTTTCCCGTGGGCTCTGAGGTTTTGGTGAGGGCAGAAGCAAGAATGAGAAGATCAGTAAGCCTGCTTTTTTTTTTTTTTAGGCTGCCACCGAACCCAAATTCCCTGCCAGTCGACTGGCTCTGCAGAATTTTGACATGACCTACAGTGTGCAGTTTGGGGACCTTTGGCCATCTATCCGAGTCAGTCTCCTCTCAGAGCAGAAGTATGGTGCCCTGGTCAATAATTTTACTGCTTGGGATCATGTGAGTGCTAAGCTGGAGCAGCTGAGTGCCAAGGACTTTGTGAGTGAAGCCATCTCCCGCTGGGAACTGGAAGCTGAGAGTGGCCATTCTGTAGCTCCATCCCCATCCTATAGTCCAAACCTTCGGTGCTTCACTTTTGCCAGAGGGGATGTCAGCCACTTTCCTCCTGCCAGGTAAGATCTAGAGCCATGGTGGCTGCTGTCCTTATCACTTGTCTGATGTACACTGAAGAGACCTAGCTCCTGGCCTCTGTAATAAGGATCATAACATGGTTCGTATTTCTGGTGTGCTTCTGCAGCCTGGGCATTTATTTAAATTATCTAAATTTCTGTCAACAGCCAGATAAGGTAGGTAATATTATGCTCCTCTTTTACATTTGAGAAAACAGGTACTGAGAAGCTAAAGTATTTACTTGCTTTAAGTCCATTCAGGTAGTGGTACAGCTAGTATTTAGACCCCGGTGGTTAGAACCTGGACTTTGAAACTCAATATTAGTTGTAGGATGTAGGAATTGATTTTTTACAAAATTTTATATTTTGTAGTACGGGGGATTGAACCCAGGACCTTTACACTGAGTTACATCTGCAGCCCTTCTTATTTTATTTTCAAGACAGGGTCTAGTTAACTTGCCCAGGCTGAGCTCAAACTTTGATTCTCCTGCCTCATCCTCCCACAGTTCTGGGATTACATACACCACTGAACTTGAATGGGAATTGACTTTGAAGGCTTCATTGATTCACTTAACAAATATTTACTGTCTGTCACATGCCAGGCATGTAAATGCCTGTGTTACCAGTATATAGACCTTCATGCAGCTTCTAGTCCACTGAGGAAGACAGATATTTTTAAAAAATGATTTACTGGGCTAGGGATTTAGCTCAGTGACACTGCACCTGCTTTGCAAGTGCAAGGTCCTGAGTTTGATCTGTGGTACCCCCACAAAAAAAAAGAAAACAAAGAAAAATATTTATTGTTAATTACATGAAGTGCTACAAAAGAACATTGTAAAATGCCATGAGGTCTTATAATTACCAGGATATTTAAATAAGTTTTTTCTGAGAATGTGAATTGTGTGTGTGTGTGTGTGTGTGTGTGTGTGTGTGTGTGTTTGCATTTATTTTTGAGACAGGGTCTTGCCAATTCATTATGCAGCCCAGACTGGCCTTGAACTCATGGTGATCCTCCTGCCTCAGCCTTTCAAGTGCTAGGAGGACAGGTGTGTACCACCACACGCGACTGACTGGATGTCTGGCTTTCTTCTTTCTTTTTTTTTTTTTGAGACAGAATCGTTCTGTTTACTTCAGATTGGCCTTGACTTCACTGTGTAGCCTAGGCTGACCCCAAACTAATGGTGATCCTGCCTCAGCCTCCTAAGTGCTGAGATTACAGGCATGTGCCATTCTACCCAGCTTCCGCCCCTCCCCTCCTCTGTCTCTCTCTCTCTCTCTCTCTCTCTCTCTCTCTCTGTTTCTTTCTGTCTGTCTGTCAAATTTAAAGTAAGATCTGAACACTGAAATAAAGCTAGTATTATGGGACTGGGATCAGGGTAAGAGGCCCTTTAGTACATATTGCTGTATTTGCCAAGATTTGTTCTAGAGAACCACTAAAAAGGTCCTTCTGAGCAAATCAAAGGCAGTAATGTATAGCGGTTATCTGCATGAACTTTGAAGTCATAAACCTAGATTTTGGGAATACTATCTTTATACCTGTTGGACATGTGGCATTGAATACTGAGCCTTGGTTTTCTTATCTGAAAATAATAGTAGATAGATAATACTATTATCTGGAAGATAATAGTGATAGCTAACAGTATAACTTATTATGTGTCAGCTACTGTTCTAAGCACTTTATTTATTTATTTATTTATTTATTTATTATTTTAGTATTTGACACAGGCTTTCACTATGTATGTAGTCTAGGCTGGCTTCTAACTCACAACAGTCCTCTTCCCTCAGCCTCCTGAGTGCTGGGATTACTTGTGTATACCACCACACCTGGTCCTTTAATTCTCATTGCAACACTATCATACAAGTACTCTTAATTGCAATTAGAAAAAACTAAGGCGTAGAGAAATTGAGTAATTTCCTGAAAGTAACACAGTTAATGAGTAAATGGATTGGGTTTGAAATCCAGGCAAGTAGGGCTCTGGAACCTGGGTTTCCCTGTTTCATTTTGTTATGGCACAGATTACATGAAATTATGTATATTAAACATGTAGTGTAGTGCTTGTAATGCAGCCCTTATCAGTAGCAGTTGATGGTATTCTCATCAAAGTTAGGCTCAGGAAGCTTCCTCCCTTTTTTTTGGTACTGGGGATCAAACTCAGACCTTGTACTTGCAAGGCAGGCGCAGTGCCACTGAGCTAAATTCCCAGCCCAGGAAGCCTCCTTTCTTTAGTCACTGTGTGGGTGCAGTAAGATGGACCAGGATTAGAGAAGAATTCTGAGGTACTGACTTTAGGTAGACCCACAAACTAAGAGCAGGTTTCCTAACTTGCTTGAGGTACTCGACAGCAATTTCAGGGGTTCCTACCCAGGAGGAATCTGAGAGAGTGAGGAAAGTGAGCAGTGATGGCAGATTTGTGGAGGTGGTTTGTCCTTTCCCCAAAAGTTGTAAAAATCCTTTCCCCAAAACTTGTAACTTCTAAGGGATGTATTCAGGGAATCCAGGAACTCTCTCAAATCATGTTTAAAATTGTTCTTTTTTCAGTAAGTCTAGCTTTTCGAAGTCTCATCCTCATCCTTACGGATCCTCTTCCTCTAGCATCTTTATCCTTGAAGAGGATGGCTTTTATGGCCTGTTGGTGGTATGATGACAATCCTGTGGCTTTTTCAGATTTTGCAGTGTTTTTGTTATTTTCCTTTGTGAGGCAAGAGGCACAGATACTCCAAGTGTGGTTTGACTTTGAAAATATGTTAGCCAGCCTTGGTGGCACACATCTGTAATCCCAGCACTTGGGAGGCAGAGGCAGAAGGATCGCCTAGCGTTCAGGCCAGTGAGACCTTGACTCAAAAGACCTAAATAAATAAATAAATAAATAATCAAACAAACAAATAAATAAATAAATAAACGGGCCTGGGACTCAGCTCAGTGGCACCACACCTGCCTTGCAAGCACAAGGTTGTGAGTGCAATCCCCGGTACCAAAAAAAAATAAATAAATAAAAATAAAATAATACAAGAAAAGAAAATATCCTATTATAACCTGAGCCTATAGGTGAATGCTTGGGGTGTTGCAGCCTGGGGACTGACTGTGATAGCTTTTGTAACTGACCGTGAGTGGTGCTGTGTCTTATGTTTTATTACATCCTTCTCCCAGATCCTCTATCCTCCCTGTCAGGGTTTCTGTCTCCTTGATCTGTTCCCAAGGCTGAGCTATCTCAGACACTGTAAATGCTGCTCACCACACCTTAAGACAGTTGTCCTGCAAGTAGGAAGTTGTTCTGTGATGGTTAGGCTGTTATTGATCATCCCTGTCTTTCTACCCACACTTCCTGCCTGGTATCTCTATAACTTGCCTGGTATCTCTATAACTTACCTAGTTTTCTACAACTTGGATCTATCTAATTGGGTCATTTCCCTTAAAAACTTTTGATAACAGCTGAAGGTTATAGTCCAAACTCCATAGCACACAGTTTAAGACCTCAGTCTGCTTTCTAGCCTCAGTTTTTTTGTTTTGTTTTTTTGTACCAGGGATCAAACTTGGGATCTTGCATTTGGGAGGCAGGCGGTGAAGGCACTAAGCTAAATCCCCGGCCCAACCCTCAATCCTTTTTTTTTTTTTTTTTTTTTTTTTTTTTTTTTAGAGGACAA